CACTTCTCGGCAGACATTCACGTCTACAAGGACCCCTTCCCAGACAGGTGCTCTACAGTTCAATATCCTTATTACCAGGTTTTCCTCACTAGGTCACTCAATGACTTTTTCTCTCATACTCATATGTGCACCACGCTATTATGCTATTAGGCTTATGTCAAAACTCATCCGCTTAGTGCTTGGCATCAGCTGTTTGTTAATCTTAGTCGGTCAAACAATAATCTCTTTGGTTCGCTGTTCTCGTATTTACTACTGCTAGCAGTATCCATGTCAATGAGCACGCACCTTTACAGTCTCCATAAATTAGCGACCACTCTCGCTTTATCATATTCGAGTCGGTGTCTAGAAACATACCGCCGGGTGCTCCTATGTCTATACAAGCACAATGTAAAACATAACCTGTTGTACATTACATGGATATGTAGAATGTTAAAGTACATGCATAATAATGACGCCACGCGAACAAATCTGTGAAACCAATCCTCTGCATATCGATGTAATTCAAGATTACATTTATACCCAAATTTAAGGATGGTGTAAATGCATCAGACAAAAAAAACCCGAGGCACCCAAGCTTGGCGACTCAGCTCGACGTATCCGATCTAATTGATACCATGCACGTCTTCCCTCGTCTTCATACATCCTGCACGAAAGAGAAGGGCGAACGGCGACGAATTTCAATCGAAACGTTGTTTTGCATGCTGTATACGGACACAAGTTTCTTGAAATTCAATTCTCAGTATGTTGATACCCCGTTCCGGTGACAACATATCTTAATTACCGGATTATGAATTACGGTCGACACTTCGATAACTTGGACAAAACTATTATCTTACTCATGAAAAATGGATATTCGTAGTTTCTTTTTTAATGACATCAACGGTAAGCGACATAGAAAACGTACTTTCTGTTCAACTTCGCTTCTTGTCTTACCACTTGAACAAGTCTCTGGAGGGGCCTGAAACTCAAAAAGAATAGTGCTCAATTTTACGATTACTGCGGTGAGTTGTTGGAAAAACTTTCTAATGATTTGCCATGCACGTGGTAGAGCAACTCCTTCCATTACTCATTGCTGATTACGGCGTGGTACTGGGCAATTTGAGGGTCACATGGATTGTCCACCATCTACAATCATCTTCCCATCTTCAGATGGAGGCCGGACGCGATGGAGTGCTTCAATACCGTAGGATCAGGTCAGCTGTGTGTACAATGAAGGTGTGCGAGCCCTTACATACTCCGCTCTGCAGGAACACTTTGAGTAAATGCTCCAAATGGTCACTACGGATGCTGTCTTCGCTGCTGGATAGCTGATAGAGAATTGCCAGGTACTTTATAATTTTTGAACTAAAGAAATGGTACGACCGTTTACCTCGGCTAATGCCAGCGGAGAGCGCTCAGGGAAAGGCTTATTCCAAGGTTATTCGGCAACTCAGTGAGGGTGCACCAAAGATCACCTTTGAAGCCTTCCTTTTCGTCCTAACACTAGGTTTCATAGTGAATGGTACCACCAAATAGCAACCGAAGACCATCCTCTACGCAAACGACATCAACTTATAGCGTATAGCAGAGAAGAACTTTAGGCCAAGGTGCTGAAATAGCAGGAGATGCTGGCAGGAGGCGCGCGCCGATTGAACGTAAAGGAGATCAAGTTCCTTAACCGGATACCTACGGGAGGGAAATGGAAAGGGTGGAGGGTTTTCCAATACCTGGGGAGTGATCACGCCGCTGATGGCAAAGTAAACTAGACGACCAAGGTCGACCAAGGTCTGGATAAACGCAGTAGGGATAAACTGAAGAAAGTCCACTACGACTGAGACTCCAGGACGCTCACAAAAAGTGTACCGGACAGCTGTAAGGCCTTCGGCATCGTTTGTTGGCCTGTACGTGAGAGCACTAGACTTCGAAGCGCTAGACTTCGAGACCTGCGGCAAGCGACCCAACGATAGAGGAACGCCATCAGAAGAACATACTGAGGTCAAGCAAACTGTGCATGCCGTGTATAGGAAAATATGGCGGCGTCTGATGAGAACACCACTGTGCGATGGCGCAGGAATAAGGCTAGGAAAAAAATTAGGAGTATGTAATCCAATACCGATCTTGCAGCTGGTTTCCGATGAAATCCCCGTTTTTTCCAACGCTGAAAAATACAGCTTTGGAAAAATGGAATAGATAATTACAAATGATTATTACACACTTCAGCGCTAGTTCTCTGAGCAGTTACTCATACATATTCTTGAATTTCTGAGGTTTACAAAATACTTTCAGATTAGGGTCGGTCCACTCATATCAACGGAAACGCTACATAATAAGTATGCTGTTCCAGGTACTTATTCTTCGTTTTGTTAGGATAATAATATTTGTTAGGATACTGAATGCAAATATATTAGGTCGTCTCAAAAGTTCGTGCGTATTTTTTGGATCTCATGCCACAAGCTCCTTCAGCAAATTCTAATTATGTTCACGTAGGCTGTGGATAGGGCACACTGTGTAGTAACTTATAGCCGAATCACGCCTATCCTAGTCGCCTTCGTCGAGTTCAAAATGAGAAAAGAGAAGAGTCATGTCCTTCAACGGCACTAAGCCACAAATCGATCAAAGCCTGAAGTAGCATTTGCTTTGAGATACATCTCATTGTCATTGGTAGCCATAAGGTAGAATGGATAGATCTTCTTTGCTTAGAAGAGTGCAACCTGGAGAAAACCCTTCTTTCAGGAAAGCCATCGGTGTAAGATTTGAACAGGCTGCGCTCTCATGTTGAAAATCCAAACGAGATAACCTGTTGCAGGCGTTTCAGAAAGTATGCAGACACTTCAAAATCCACGTTTGAAAGGTAACTAAGAGGTTCGTGCTATGAAATCCTTCTCAATCGATTTCTCGTAGTCGATAACCTATCAATGGAAGCAAAGCAGATAATATCGCCTCACTTTCGGAAAAAAATTTTGGATGAAATTTTTTTCTTTGTTTCAAAAGTATGTGCACACTTGAAGAAGATCAGATTTTGGCGCCGAATTTCCACCGATTTCAATCCGACTTTGCTGTTTTCATTTCGTCATCATGTCAATTCGCGCCATACTTCTTCCTGAAGATGAGCAAGCTCAGATCAAGGTTCTGCATGATACTGAACGTTCCAATCCAGAAATCGCACGACAACTTGGTCGTTCTCCTTCATGCATTGGAAGATTCGTCCGGCACCCTGATATTTATACTCAGCACACACTCCGAGCTATCCACGATCCTTGAAAAGAGTGGCCCGCATCCTGTTGAATTCTTCATTGCCTTCCAAGCTCAAATGGGTTATACCAGCCTTGAAAACGACCATTAAGCCCTCATCCGCTCAAATGAATACACCACTCGACAGACGCTGAGAAAGCTACTCACTTCAAGGCTCCAGCACAAGTTAGCAACATTGGAGTCTGCTCGTACAAACATGGCAACATAGGATAGGACACCGGGATAGGACACGGTTTTTCGAGAATTTTTCATTTTTGAAACAAGCAATTTTACGCAAATTTTCTTCTTAGGTAATCTCAACTCCGACCTCAGCGGTCCGGATGGATTTTGTTGTTACTGGAGGGGCTCGGAGGTGAACCGCTCATGTTGGAGAAGGCCCCTTGATAGTCTGGGCGGTTTCGCCACCAATGTAGAGTTGGACTGGCCTTGCCATTATTGCATATGAACTGTAGTGATTACCAAAAAATCTTCAATACCACCTCTTGCCTTTTCTTAGAGGAGCAGGGCGAAGGTTGCATGTTTCGCAACAGGATAACGCGTCTGTCAGGGCTTCGCGAATCTACCAAAGAACTTCTCAGGTAATCTCAACTCCGACCTCAGCGGTCCGGATGGATTTTGTTGTTACTGAAGGGGCTCGCAGGTGAACCGCTCATGTCGGAGGAGGCCCCTTGATAGTCTGGGCGGTTTCGCCACCAATGTAGAGTTGGACTGGCCTTGCCATTATTGCATATGAACTGTAGTGATTACCAAAAAATCTTCAATACCACCTCTTGCCTTTTCTTAGAGGAGCAGGGCGAAGGTTGCATGTTTCAACAGGCTAACGCGTCTGTCAGGGCTTCGCGATCTACCAAAGAATGGCTGAAACGAAATGGTGCTGGAGCCGATGAGATTGGCTTGCATGTTCTCCTTACTGCAACCTAGTAGCCCTTGATCAAGAGTTACTTTAACAACCGGCAGTACAATACCGCGGATGAACTGAAGGCGGCGGTAGAGGCTATTGAGGCCGACAGCGACAAAGCAACTATCCAAACGTGGTTCAGATTATGCTGGACAGGGTGTTGGAGCTAATTAGATGCTTCCGAAGAATCTAATCTCGTTTATGTTTTTCTCTTTTATTAAGTGTGTTTACTTTTGGAACAAAGAAAAAATTCCATCCAATTTTTTTTTACGAAAGCAAGGCGATATTATCTGCTTAACTTTTTGACTGCCACTTACCGCTGTAGTTGAGCTAGTGGGTGATCTTCCACTTGGTGATCTTCCACTTGGTAATCTTTCACTTGAATATTCCTTCTAAAATAGTGAGCAAATTTATTATAATACAATACCGTCAAAAGATAAATTGCCGTAGACGTCTCTCGTCGTAACTCTTGTCAAATATGATCGTTGTGTTCGGAATTTCAACATTTTTCATCAACCCCCTCCATGGAGATGATCTTTCCTTTGAAAATCCACAAAAGCAGCAAATTGCTATGTTTCCTTGTGCCCGTTCCTTAGAATTTTTTGTGAGTAGAAAGTTATAATTACGTTATAACACGGTATGACTTTGTTGAACTGTTTAAGCAGGTGAAATTTTGTCGTGTGGAAAAATGCGAAAAATGATCATTAAAACGGACTGGAAGATTTCTTACCCAAAAGTTCATTTGATGGGACATTGCTACTTTTGTTAATAGACCAAGAAATTAGTCAAAATATGAAGTTTGGCGTGACGATAAACGTCTGCAGAGTTTTTTTCGACGGTATTGGATGCATAACATATGTCAATTAAATCATTACTTTAATTTCAATCTTCTCAGCTGATCTTCCTGAAGAGCTCCTTGGAGTTTCCGGAGTTTCACACTGTAAAGAGCACGAATGGAGAAAATTTTGCATTAGATTTTTTTCGCAATAAATGCATGTATAATACACTGTTGCGAAAAATTACGCGCGCGTGATGTGTCGCGTTGTTTTAAACATGGAACGAGAAAGTAATGCGTACCTTTCCATCCCAAAATATCTCTCTATTGCTGGATATTGGTTCCTTGGAAAAAAAATGTTTTTCAAGTTTTGGCGAAGACCAGCTCAAGTTGAAGCGCATTTAAAGAGCTGGACTAAGAGCTCAACGATTTCCTTGAAACTAACACTTCCTCTAAGAGCCGTTCGTGCAGGAGACTGTAAAGCAACGGGAAGAAGAAAAACAGGCCTAAAATTGACCCGTAAGAGAATGAGAGCGGAGTACCAGCTTCTGACGGACGCAGAGAATTATTAGGGAGAGTAATGAACCGAGATCACCGTAGCTTGAAGAAGAGTGCCGAACAGCTCGTAACTCCTAGTCGAAACCCGAACTTGGACTGGAATTCGTGGAGTGAGCCTTCAAAGTTAGAAATCACGATAGGTGAGCTTCAGAATACTTGCATGTACACCAGACTTCAAGGCAGTGGGTGCGATGATGCGGATGACCATGACGTTCCATATATTGGTTTGATGGGACACTAACAATAAGTGTCCAAGCAAGCGATGAATGGCGCGGTTGGCGGCACACTAGAAGTGATCTTATAATGCTCTGCGATACTGTTATTATGCGATTGTGCGCGTAAGATCCCGAATTCCCGTTTATTATTTGTATTGGCGCCATCAGAAAAACGCTGAGAAATTCTAGAATTAACCACATATCAACAACATTTCTTCATTCGGCATCGCTTTAGCACATGCGTTGCGGAAGCATACCAAGACGTCTGCGATGATGGTGCTAACTATCGAAGGTGGAACTCGTGGAGAAGAGAGAGGAGGGGAGGGCTAATGGTGGAGGTTGTTACCTTATTTCTTACTTCGAGAAAGGTAGTTGAGCAGAACGAACGCTAGCGAATCTTACGACTGCCTAGCGATTGTCTGCAAAACATCAATCTCTGCCTGAGCAGATTGTATATAGTTGCTGCTAATGAGTCCTGTGTCTGTGTCCGAGCATTGCGCAGCGGACATCGAACGTTGGCACCAGCGCATCAAACTTTGCAGCAAGCGACATTCGACTGATGCACCAGCGAATCGACCGATGCACCAACGACTCAAGGGTGGGGGACCCAACGTTCAAAGGAAGCCCGCCACTTTCAAACAGTGTCCACTGTCAAGTCCCGCCACTTTCAAAAAGGGTCCACTGTCACGTGACACTGTTCGAAAGTAGCGGGCTTCCTTTGAACGTTGGGTCCCGCCACTATTGAGTCGCTGGTACATCGTTGACTCGCTGGTACATAGTTCGACTCGCTGGTGCATCGTCGATTCGCTGGTGCAACGCTCGGATCCAGCGATGCGCTAGCGAATCGCTCTATTTGCAAACTATGACGTCGGCCTAATGTGGACACATGTGTTTGAAACTGTTTGTTATCACTGTGTTACTGAGTTTGTTATTTGTGTTGGTGCTATCAGAAGAACGTTGGGAAATTATATAAATACCCACATCAGTAGGCTTCGCTTCTGACTGTGATTGTGTACTTGAGCTTGGGCTATCTTCGCGAGGCCTACAACCGTCTTTCCACTTCAAAGGTCTGCAAGAAGTGGTCTCACTTCTGTTGCAGATTTGCAGTATGAAGAGCTAATTAACACTCAAAATAAAAAACTTTTGTAACGGCACGATGGCTATCCCACAAGTTATAGGCAATCATGTCCTTGGGAGGAATGGAGGGGGACATTCGAAACAGGGCATTCAAAAACCGTTGATAGATGATATCGACAAATAGAGAGGAGGAACGCCAGAGAGAACATTAGACGGATAACAGAGGCCGCGGAACGGCTGTTACCGTAATCCGCCGCCGCAACAAATCGATGCCACGTGGCATTCGGCATGCCTCTTTTGTCGTTTTTCTGCGCACTCCACGACGACAGTGTGGACGATACGGAGCCCGTCCATTGTACGGAGCACCTGAGCTGTAGAAGGGTGAATGTGGCAGCGTGTCGAACTGGCCGGAGCGTGCTTCGCCGGCATGTTGGAGTTAACCTCCCTTGCCTGCGCGCGAAGCGCGCGCAGCGTTCGCCTCGCCTCGGGAGCGTATTTTTGGATAGCCACCCGCGATAAGGGTGGCTTTGTTGACAAGACGGTTATCGCAGTCCGTGGAGTGAGCGTTCAATCTATCTAATTCGTTGAAAGGGCGCGGCCACGGGTTACGGTAACAGTCGTTCCGCGGCCTTTGTTATCTGTCTTGTAGAGAGAACAGAAGTTGCTAGCAGGCTCATGCAGGTCCCTTTCCTCCCCTTGTGCTTAGTCCCAGGTACTGTGTGTGGCTCAAGTCACTTGAACGCACGCTTCCCCTCTCCCCTCCCCCAACGACATGAGCGCCATGACATGGTAGATATACTGGTCGCAACGAAAAAAAGAATAGAAATTATCGAAAATGCCCAAGCTAGAAGTTCATTCGTCTTCATAATGCGGTTATGTTAAGGTAACGAAAGACTGAGCGCAGAAAGCAGAGTATGAAGCGAGAAAGGCGCAGCAGACGAGAGGCGTCAGACAAAGCCTACGGGCGGGAAAAGGTGCAGCTGCCGCAGATAACGTTGCAAGGCCTTAATGCCATTATTGGACGAGACAGGCCGGAGGGAATCGTTTATTCGAATTGTCCTGCTTGGGTGCGCTTTCCCAATGACAGTTGGCAGAGAAATGTATTGCGATAGTAACGCTGCGAACTTACGTTGAATTCACATGCAGATTAGATTGCTCTTTTATGGAATCGCTGATGAATTCTACCCGATAGCAGAGTAATGAGAACCTGACATCGCTATTGCGTAGCACTTCACAATTGGCAGGCAGGCATTAGCAAAAATGATAAAGCTGTCAATACCCGTCTCTTGCTGGTGCTTGTTCACAGACGCATATCCTGTTTCCGAAGACCAGATGCTCGCCGGGTGCAGACCACACAACACAAGTGACGACTGCCTCCACAAAAATGTCATTGTGTTCTGCCAACAAAAGGATTAGCCGGTTGCAGTTTTTATTCTTTCAGTTGTCAATTACAATTATCGTTTACCAACTATCAGCTATCGCTACGAGTCGTGGTTACTAGATTTATTTGGAGGCCATCGTCGTCGTCGTGTGTGTGTGGTCTGCACTTCGACGCGCATGTGATTCCCAGAAGCAGCAGGATACATCTCATTGCACTTTGCTGGCTTCGATCTTGGGAAGTCGTTACCTTTCCACACATTTGCAGACATACGGCCGAACTTGAGCGTCGATTTTCTCGAAGTATGTGTGTTCCAGTTCACTATCATCAGAAGACACGAATATTCTGCAAAGTGCCAGAAAATCACAAAAAGGTTGTAGGCGACAATATTGGGAATAAACTTTGTGACTAACCCTCTTTCCCTCATTTCAACCCGTTTCTTCTGCGCATTGTACGCTTCTGGATATTGTTCTCGTATTGTTTCTGCCGATAACCTTTGTGTTCTCAAAACCGGGTTTATGAGGTAATCGTTGTATTTGGCGGCAAGCAACTGCGCGTCCATTGTTTCAATCGGATTTACTGAAATTTGGTAGATATACACAATCAATTTTGTAGGTAATGTACCTCTTTCTTCAATCGCGCTCATTTTTTGTGAATAAAACCTGAAAGGGTTACGCTAGCCCATGACAGCGTGAAGCAGAATGCGGAAGGTAGGTGAATACAAGCGAGAGAGTTGAATGAGTCCCCATGACGGTCTATTTCGACGGTCTGAATGTTTAGACCACACTCACAATGATGAGAGATCAATTGGTGCGATTATGACCACACTCGAAACTACGACGGACGGACAACAGAGTTAGAAGCGGTCCAGTGCTTCACAGACTGGAGGCAATAATAACGAGTCAATTCTAGACTGATTGTGAATTGAGTGGGGGGGGGGTGACAACGAAAAAACAATGTGATCAACACAGAAAAATTCTAGATGTCAATGGTGCAGAGCTCATTCAGAGCTACTAGAGAGACTCCTCTACTCTGATATCGCCGTTATAGCGGATGATTGCAAAAGAAGACTTCAGGGCGAGGTGCAGATACGACAGCAAGTGCTGGTAGAAGGTGAGCTCTGGCTGAATGCCAAGAAGACCAAATTCTTGGGTTCTGAAGAGGACGGACGGACCAATTGTGGGCGGCCATCGAGGACCCGGACCCATCGAAGGAGTGGGGGACTCTCGCTATATCGGAAGTGATCCAGTCCGTTGACTGTGTGTGCGGCAAGGCAGTAAAAACACGATACCCTGGCATAGATAAATGGATAGAGTTACGAATTTTCTGCGATCGAGGTGCTCCAGAGCGCTCAAAGGAAAGGTGTACCGGACAGTGGTAAGGCCTGCGATGCTATACGGCAGCGAGTGCTGGCCCCTGAGCAAGAATCACGAAAGGCAGCTTCACTCCGCCGAAATGAGAATGCTGAGATGGGCCTGCGGCTGGACGACATTTTCTTCGGAGTAACTGCTACTCGTAAGATTGTTATATTGGTACCTAGGGACATATTGTGATCGACCTTGACATGCTTTTTTATTATATTACTGCACTCCTGAAAGGCTATAAGAGGGTATTATGATTCTGACATGTTGTTTTGTTTGGCTGTTAAAGCAACAGTCCCGGCAGGGTTTTTACCTTCAACACTACATGGTGGAACGTGCGTTAGCCCTAGCCAAGAACATGAGAAAGTGTGACTGAACAAAAAACTCACCTTGAGAAAGCCGCTAGAAAGGGTTTCGGAGTGGGCGTGGCTTGCTGTCGCTGCAGTCTCCTCCGACCGCTCCAACCACTTCCACTTCGAAGCCGTTCTGCTCCTTTTCCAGCGGCTTTCTCTGAGTTTTTTTTTCCATTCACTTTTCTTATGCTCTTGGCTAGGGCTAACAGCAGCCAGGGTCAACCGTCCGCTTTGAATACAGTTCGAACGGGGGGGGTCGCATTGGGTTGTGGCGGAAAAGGGGTAGCATTGGTGGCTTGTATTTTTGGGAAAAAGTAGGCGGAGTTTCGGAGTTTTAGGTAGGTTTTGGGCTGTGTCAACTGGTCTCAGAATCAAATACTATAGAAGAAGAGGGAGGTCGCGGTGGGGGATGGCTGGTGTTGTATTGGGGGGTCGCAATTGTGTATTGGTGGGGGTCGCAACTGGACCCCCTCCAGAGGGGGGGGTCGCAAAAATCCCGAAAATGTTCGAACGTGACGGTTGACCCTGCTACACACGTCCTCCTATTAGTGTTGCAGGTAAAAACCGCTGTACTATTACTTTGAGAATTAATGACGTTACAAGTCTCGATGAGCTTTCATTCATTAACAGACTGCATCATCATCATGTCTTCTTGTCGTACTAGAAACCCAGAATAAAACAGAAGAACCTCGCCCCTTCCCTATCCTTCGCGAAACTTTTTTGTCAAAATCTGTAACTTTCAACAAATATATAATTACCGGTTTTGCTGCGCACGCATTCGCGTTGCATTGCACCACGGTTGCGGTGACAGGGCATCCAATCATTTCTGTAACGCTTTCTGGCCAAACTTCGTCACCAGCCTGTTTGGCCCCGAAACTATGGTCCACCCCTATAGCAATTAATCCCTTTCGTTGTCAGACTGTTTCCCCTTTTTCCCTGTCTCCAGACAAATTCGAACTGATTACAGTTTTGTTTATGATTCATTCCGATGCGCACCCTCACCAGGCTACTAGCTGTTCACAAGTGGGCCTGATTTTCCGTTGACCGGATCTCCGCCTTTGTTTTTGATCTCTAAGGTCTATCTCGAATCGAATTTCAAATTACGACAACAAACTCCACCGCTCTTTATGGAGCCCCCACCCACCAATGGTAGCAGTTGGCCTTCTTTCCTTTGCTGGCCTCTACCAGCTTTCTTCCCGTCTCTAAGTCTTCTTGGAGCCGAGTTATAAGTCTGGCAGCAAACTCCGCCCACTTTTCAGCACGTCCCGCCCACCATTAATATTTTATTCTCCCCCCTCGACCGCTCCACTCTAGAATTTGTTTTTCCGCATCTCTAAGACTTTTTGGACGGAAGTAGTGGGTTAGTAGAAACGTGTCCGGCTTTAGCGATGCTTCCGTGACATTGTAGCTGCCTTCGCAATGCGCGTCATATATGCCGAAAATGTCATAGGCATTGCTTTCCCACAGTATTTTTTCTGCACTGTAGGCTTTACTGTATCTTATGATTTTTTTCATCAAGCACCGCTTGTTCAGATAACGCCCCGCCCGTCCAAGATGGGTCTCCCTAATTTTTTTCTTAGCTTACAATGCGCACCTCCCAGCTTTTCGCCAGTTCGAGCGCTTTGTAAATTGTTTTGAAATCTTGCTCGTACTGCATACCGCAAACATTGCGATGCAATTCCTCCATTGTGGGTGGGCGCTGCTTCGGCTTATGTATGCTTTGTACTTCTCAGATATGGTAAAGCCACAAGCGTGATGTCTTTTGTGAGTGAGTCTGAGCCCACTTTCAGTTCCACACTGTAAAAGGCATCCATACTTGTCAAAAGAGAGTATAAATCGTCCATCCATACTCGACAAGTCATAGACAACACTGCCGTTTCCCTGAAGGCTCGGCCCCTCGCAGCACGATAGCCGCAACGCGACGGCGCGGCGAGCTGACGATTCTGTTGACCATTCCCCAAGCCAACCCACACTTGACCAGGTCTCCAAGTGAATCTCCAGAAAGGTGGGAAATTCGTGGCAGACAGGCACCGTGACAAGTAAACATAGTGCTTGTTAATATAAGCATACCAGTTGGCGCCGCACGCATTGCGCGCACAACACAGATCTGCGGCGAATTTTGATGGTGCGACGAAAATTTTCAAATTTGGCTTGATACACCACGAATATCTGAATTCTCAGCTAAATTCTATCCGCTCCATCATCGACGGCTTTCAACCTCTTTTTCTTCGTCAACCATTATCCTCTTTTTCCCGGTCTCCGGACTGCTTCCGGACAATAAATCTCGTGGCAAACTCCGCCTACTTCGGTGCGTGCCCCGCCCACCAAATAGCATTCCTTTCGCCAACCTCTAACCCCGTTCTTCTCTATCTCTAGGACTTCTTGGAACCGAATTGCGACCCTTTTCGCAAACTCCGCCCACTTTGGTCAAGCCCCGCCCACCGATGACAGCTGGCCTCCACTCCTCCATCCACCTCTATCCACCTTTTTCCGGCTCATTAAGACTTCCCCGGCCCGAATTATGAGGACTTGTAGAAAATGCTGTACACTTCAGAGCGCGCTCCCGCCCATTGTGGGCAGGCCTCCGCCCACGTCATGTATGCTGGGAACACCTTAGACATTGCTCCCTTACACCAATTGTTTTCTGCTCTGTAGGCTTTCTCCCAACCGAGTTATGAAATTTTTCATAAAGCACTGCTTTTTTGGAGAACGCCCCGCCCACCGGGGGTGGGTCTCCCTAATTCGATGTGACTTACCAATGCACACCTTTACCCACTTTTTGGCCCAGTTTCAAGGTCGTTTTCTAAGAGAATTGAAAATCTCGGTCGTCAGTACACTTCATGTCGACGCACGCCACGCCCACTGTGGGCGGGGCTCCGCTTAGCTGATGTGTGTTTTGTACTTCGTGAGACCTTGCCCACCCGTCCCACACTTGAACCGGTCCAGGCCAGAATCCCGAGGAGCTTGAAAAACAAATTTCATGACAACAGTACAGAACGCACGAGACGGAAGCGCTTCTATAGTAAGTTAGGATAGTAAACGAGGGCTCGGTTTCCGCGTTATCTTTCTTTAGAGGCCTGACAGGTTAGTGCAGCCCTGTATGAAAATTGTTTGCAGATCATCACATTAGAGTCTATACCTTGCTTTAGGTGTGACAATCACCTTGAGGAAGGCGTTCTGCTTTTATCGTAGAAGACTTACAGACCGAAAATCACTCGTTCGAGCTGTGTGCATTGTTTGTTCCACAGATAATGAAGATTCCAGCTCATTGTTGTTCATTTGATCGCATTACTTCATTGCCGCAGGGCTGGTTGCACTTGTGGCCAACATTCTGCTTATCTAATGCCCCAGTGCACGCTCGAAGTCGGCTTCTTTGACAGCATTTCTGCAACACTTCTACAACTACCAAAACCTTGTCCCGAGTTGCAACCTGTTTCGAATACAAACATAGACGTCCGGTTGTCTGCCTCTGGAGAACCTGCTGTTTTACGCCACAGTTTTTCGCCGTTACGAGAGTGATCACATTAAGGGAGTTGCGAAGCAAAAACTTTCGCCATAGTCGGGTCCGTACCCGGACGCATCCTGCTTTCGACAGTTGAAAAGAGCATTGGTTGCTGGTTGAGAAGAGATCGCATCGGTAGTCAGACCGCACACGGTCAAGACTCCCCCTTATCATGAAAGGGAGTGTGTTAGCAATTTCATTCTACCCACAGCTCCTTCTCTCTTATGGTCGGTCCGCACTACAATGCTCCTTTCCTCCCAAACCCCCTTCCCCCTCCCCTCACCGTCACCCGGCACAACACGCTAAACTTTTTGATAATTGGAATCAGAGAGTCTTATATAACAAG